AATTTCCTTTTTCTTTTTTTCCTTTTTGTCTTTTTTCGTGACCAGTAACGGGATCGCAAACCTCGGTGTGGCGCCCGAAACGCGCTCAACCAGTGAGCGGACCAGTCTCTATATGGGATCCGAACCCTCAGCGGGAGCACCGCTGCACTCCCAAGTGCCACACTCTACCGAGTGCACCACCGGGACGGCCCAGAATTTCCTTTTCTAACAAGTTCTAAGGGGATACCAATGCTGTTGTTCCACGGATCACATATTGAGACACAGCACCATAAGGGAGTGGGATGCTGATTGGTCACACAGGCTGAGAGGCAAGACAAAGAAGGAGAATCTGTTTTGCAATGAGGCCCAGAGAAGCTGGGCCGTGCTTCCAGTTACAGTAGGACAGAGTCAGGCTAGCTAGGGCCATGGCATTTCTGGCTATTTTTGGGAGGGGAGGGATGGCACCTGCTCCTAGGTGCTCTCTGATGACCACCTGTGGTGCTGGCGGGTGTGGGGGAGGCAGCTGGTCCTTGCATCCTTGGGGCTCACTTCTTCTCTCTGATTTTCCTTCTCAGGCCTCCTCAACAGAGGCAGCCAGACTGAGGGTTAGAGTTGCCTCATGCGAGCCACCCGAAGGACCCTCTCCATCCCGGGCTGCTTATATTTCTTCTCAAGGCAGCAAGGCTGCTCTGACAAGGAACTCCTCTCTAGCCACTTCAGCCCAATTCCTCACCTTGAGCAACTGATTCCAGGATTCTCAAGATGGGAGTACATCAATAACACTGGGAAACATGGTCACAATAGTTTCAGGATTGAGTCTGTGACCATGTTTCCCAGTAATATTGACGTACTCCCATCTTGAGAAACTACTAATGCAGTAAGAGTAGAGTGGAACAGGCATCTCCCAACGATACGAAAATCACTCTGAATCCAGCTTTCTTTTTTTTTCTTTTTTTTTTTGTCTTTTTCCATGTCTGGCAACGGATTGCAACCCTCAGTGTCGCCCCCGTACCGGACCGGGACCAGCAAAGGGATCGCAACCCTCAGCACTGCTCCCGCGCCCCGCTCAGCCAGTGAGCGGGAACCGGTCTGTATGTGGGATCCGAACCCTCGGCGGGAGCGCCGCCGCACTTTCCAAGTGGCGCACTATAGCAGTGCGCCACCGGGCCGGCCCCCTGAATCCAGCTTTCTTGAGGTTTGGTGGGTCTGGAATGTCCCTGCCACCCTCACAGCCAGCTGGGTCACAGATTCCTCGTGTCCACTCAGTTGGGTGTGGTTCTGTAATCCCTGC